CTGATTGAATTAGTCAGCCCTGCTCTCTAAAGCAGGTTGCTGCCATTCTCTGCCATGACAGAAGAAAATGATCCATCGCGTTTAGAAACTTGGGTGAGAGTGCTCAGTCCCCACTGCTTTGCTGCAGCTCCACTGGCTTTCCAAACTCCTTGAGACTTAAAGACTATCCTTTTACGTATCGGAAACATCAAGTAAAGCGGTATCAGAAGCCTAAGGCTGACCCACAGTGTTCTACAGCACTGAAGTTTAGAATCAGGAGAGTTTAAACTCAAGAGCTATGTCAGGTACATTCTGCACGTCTACAGCATTCTGAATTTGCTTCTGAGCAGTAAGGAGCGCTAGCCCCATGGTAGTCCATAGATGGGGACTCTACCTGGGCCAGGAAGGACACTCCCGTCATCTGTCTGGCCACACAGCCACATGGAGGTACGCCTTTCCCAAATTACAGGGGGCTTTGGCAGTTTTGCTAATAGATTAGATGCACAGAGGATCATTTTGTACCCCTCACCACTCTGGCTTGCAATTGTCTCCCAGTGTCCTATATCAGCTGTAGGTCTTGGTCTTTACCTCCCCACCGCTGTGAGCAGCTGGCAAAATCAGGAATTTGAAAAACAGATTGAAGTCCACTATAGTTTGAAAACACTGAGATGCTACTTTGGAGCCTAAACAGCCCTGGATTCTTTACTCAGGAGACAAGTAAACTGCCCAACCCACTGTGTGCTGTAGGCTTTGAGGTTCTTAGAGGTGCCCTCCAGTTCCGAGGTGGTGTCCTGTTCCTTCCCCCCGTTGCATAAAGGCAGCAGCATCACTTGGGATCTTCTCAGAAATTCGGAATCTGGGGCTTCTCTCTAGTCTGCTGATCAGACAGCCTTTTCAGAATCTGCCACGGCCCAGCAGGTTACAGTTTGAGAAGACCACTAGAGTGATGGAGACACCACTCATCCTATGTCCTCTGTTGTCCAGCTGGCTCTCTAGGTGACAGAAGCCCTCCCATGTGACATGACTCCTGCCCCCATCACCCCTCCAGACTGCTCTCTAGTTCACATCTGCCCAGATACAGCAAGCCATTTGGCACCTCGGCTCTACCAGGTTTCTTTGCCACTTTTTACTCTTGCATAACATTTTCAAATGGACATTAACTAAGGTAAAAGACAGCCAGCGTGAAGTTCTGCTTTCCTCAGGTGGTGTTCTGCATCATAAGCCGTAAATCAGGAGTCAAGCAGGGCTGTACAGAGACTAGAGGTTCCGCTCAGTGCTGGAGTGTGCACAAACCCACAGTATATCCCCAGCACTGCCAGGAAAAAGAAGGGCTCTATAATTAGTTTTGCTAATGGAACCTTAAGGGACCAAAAGCAAATTTTCCTCCCCTTCTGGCCCCGCATGCAGCTAGACTGTCCTGTCGGTGCCCTGCAGCCGTGGAGGGCCTGCACAAGATGCCAAGGGCTCATGTGCTGCAGTTCCCTGCCTGGCTCCATGGTTACCATGTTCATGGAGCTCTAGGTTACTGGGTTATCTGTGTGTTTGACTAGTCTTGCCAAATGTACGTGTTCTACATTAAGTTCATTCTATACTACAAAGTCTACACTGCAAACGGCATAATATTTCTCCCAGCTGAGTAGCCATGTTCGTCCCAGCATTGTTTCCCCACTCAAGGTAAAAGAACAGGAGCTAAGGATTAAATTAGTAAGAGGAAGAGCAACCTAAGGCACCTCTATTACTTTTGAAGTAGGCTTAGTTTTTTGGCTAAAGTAGGTAGAAAACCTTAAACATACTTGTTATTATCCTAGATCACCAAACATTTCTACAGCCTTTTCTCCTGCTACTGAGTCTTCCCTAGGATGGTGGTGGTTGTTGTTTGCATTGCTATGGTAAAAATTACTAGGGGAATTAGAAGTGGCTGCAGAAGAGAGGGAAGATTTGGGAACAAAAAGGAAATGAAGTGTGGGGTGGTTACACGTAATTGCTATTTGTAATGTAATCCTTTCACACCAGTTTTATGTTAGTAATTGCTTCCTGGCTTGGAGGGTACAGGAGGACTTGGAGGAGCTGTCTCCGGGGTGTCAGTCTCATGAATAAAGAAAGCAATGAGAAAAGGGGGTTTCTAGCAAGGACTTTGAGGAGGTAGACTGATATTCCTCAGTCTTGTGAGTTGAGAGAAATGATTTTTTGGTTTTGTTTTGCTTTGGGAGGGATACCAGAACCCTCCTTGACATACAGACAGGTGTGTGGGAAAGCCAGACTGGGGGTAGTGACATATTGGATCTCTGCTCACAGTATGATGATTCTAGAAGAGAAAAGCCTAGGCCATGTGTGCCCATGAATATACCTCATAACTACAGCAGGCCATCCAAAGAGCATTTCCCCAAGAATACCAGAAGCAGGCACCAGTCATTTGTCAGTAATCTAACATACCTTCCAAAACGGTAAGTAACTCCTCATCTTAGCTACTTAGAGCCAAGTGGTTTTAATGCAAGAAATGACTACAGGAATTTTGTTCAATCATTGATGCCCCAGGATATAAGCTATGTTTCCCGCCACCCACTGGGCCACCTTTGCTTGACCTGGAAGTTGACTTTGATCCTTAGGCACAAAACTGACAGGTACAGATCTCTATCCTCTTCCACTCTGCCCTCCAACCTTCTCTTGCTGTTCCCTCCACACAGGCAACTGGAAGTAATTGGTGGTGATGGTACTACTGCAGGGGTATAAAGGGGAGCTGGTCCCTTTCCTCCTCACCCTCCAGAGCCATGACTGACACTCTGATGGGAGGTTAACAAGAAAAAAGAGCCTAACAAATTGATTTTGTCATAGTTTTACATGATGCTGGAGCCTTCAGATTGAAGATTCAAAGACCCAGGGCAAACTGCCTGTGTTACGCTTAGATTTTCTGAAGCATGGGCAGCCACATGGAAATGTGATGGGCCAAATGGGGTCTGGCCTAATGGTTGTAGACCTGTCTGTGCAGATTCTTCTTAGCTACTCTGTGTAATGCTTTTCTTCTGGGGATAAGACAGGATCCTTTCTGGAATGAGTCTTATGACCTACAATCAAGCCAGGTAGATCAAAGCGTTTCTTTATGTCCAACCCTTAGCCAGAAAGATGGGAAGATTGAAGGAAGAGGTAGAGATTTTATGGCTGCTCTAGGAGTTCTGATTTCTATGAACTGCTTGGGGATGGGATTCTCGTTTCTAATTTCTAAGTTTTATCTTGGAAAATGAGGATAAGAGGATGGTACCAGAGCCATGAGAAAACTATTTCTGGGACTTTCACTTTGGGTATCATTTTGTGAGCCCCAACATGGCCTCCTCCTTAGAAGCATGACCCCAAGAGGTAACTGGGGTTGTCTTCCCATTGAAGTGGACCCAGGTTGGTTAATGAGCAGACACAGACTCCTCAGAGGAATGGGGGACTCCCTCCTGCAACTTCATCCAAAATATACCTTCAAAGGAACAATCTCATTTAATCTTTATGGGAGGAAGTAGTTTTTTGTAAACTAAATTGAAGTATCAAACTAGAACTTCAGAATTAAAGGAAAAAAATGATTATGTACGAAATGACTTGAAATTTCTCAAGTTTTACATAGGAATTATTTTTATTGGGACAAAACCATTCGCAGATTACTAAAATTGTTCCCAACAAAATATGTATTGTATTTAGAAGTGAAGAGTTTCAGAAAACTATGTGAAGGACAATACAGACTTTTTATCAATCTTCATTTTCTTACTAGAGAGCAGATAGTTTTATACTAAGATCACCTTCAGTATTTTGTAAATCAGTTACTTTGAATCTTAGTTGGACACATTGCTCCCTTAATATTCCCAGTTGTAACCAAAAGTACGGAGAAGGTCATTAACCAGTTGCTTTAGAACGGGATGAGTTGTTAAAGGGTCACCCTGTACAACAACAGAAATGAAAGTTGTTGCACCGATAAATGTTACTTTCGTTGTGTATGAAGTAGTAAGACTCATGATTATAGTGGTTTTGTTTGGTTGGTTCTTGACAGTTCAGCTTTTTGAAAAATCACGTAGGTCCCATGAAGACTTAAGTGTCACATAAATTGTGCGTATCATAGATTAGCTTATAGAGGTATGAATGACATGAAGATTTTGCTCCTAATACTCGAAGGAACTTGGGAATACATGTACCACAAAAAAGTTTGAGATCTGCTCATTGCATATGAGACGTTATGGAGACTGTATAATCAAATCACCTACTTAGATGCCTTCCCTGAAAGTATTTCTGGTTTTCTGAATACTGAAAAGTAAGCTGGCATTTAACGAAATGAATTTCATAGACATTCTTGGTTTTCCGGAGAATGTCTTTACCTGTGTGGGTTGGCAAAAGCGAGGCAGATAAAGCAGGCTGCCCTTTTCGCTCAACTTTGTCCTGGCCCTGGTCAGTCCGTCTCTTAGCTGTCATTTCAGGTTTTGAAGCATTCAGAAGTGACTGTTTCAAGAAATGATGTTGACAGGTTGATAATAAGGAGTCGCAAGTTTTGCTTCACGGCAAAAGGGACCCCCTAAATCACCCACGTGGCACCCTGAAGCCCCTGAGAAGCATTAATGTCTGACGCGCTGGGGACCTGATTGGGGTGGGGGCACTGGGTGACCGCTCCTCTCTGCTCCCCAGCATTTCCTGGGTTTTTACTCTGCGCTGTGCCAGCAGGGTGCATGCAGGAGGCGGTTCTCACCCACAGGGACGCGGGCGGCTGGAGGAGTTTCTGCGTGGGGAGCCTCGGCCCCTTTCTGTCTTGCAAATCCCGCTCTGGCCGCAGCGCGCACACGGCGCGGGCAGGGGTGCGCGCTCCGGTGGCCGGGCGCGGTTAACCGGGAAGGGCCGCGCTCGGTGCGAGCTCTGGGTGGCCTGCACGGTTAACCGGGAAGGGCCGGCTCGGGCAGGGCCTCGGCGGGGCGGAGGCGGGGCGCTGCGGGCTCTGCTGTTGCCGGAGCCGTGATGTCACCCGCCCCTCCTAACCCGCGGTTGGTTGTTTTGTGTTTCAGCTCTGCCTGCCTTGAACACAAAGACCTGGAGCGGACTCCCACCGCCTTCGGGGAAGAAAGGGAACCGCGGAGCCGATCGATCGCGGGGCCGTGCGCGTGGCTGGAGCCTCTGTACGCGGGGCCCTTCGGAGGAGAGCGGGGTGCGGATGAGCCGTGAGATGAGGCGCGGCTCCCGCGGCTGCTGCTGACCCGATTCCAGGCCCGCGCTGCCCACTGCTTCGTGTACATGTGTCTGCTCAGGCCGGCGGGAGGCGCCCAGAAGAGCATCCACCACGGCCGCCGGGGAGAGACCGCCCAGCATGCCCACCGAGGCGCTCCCGACAGGTAGCATGGTGAAGCCGGTCAGCCCCGCGGGCACCTTCACGTCGGCCGTGCCCCTGCGCATCCTGAACAAGGGGCCCGACTACTTCCGCAGGCAGGCCGAGCCCAACCCCAAGAGACTGAGCGCGGTGGAGCGGCTGGAGGCCGACAAGGCCAAGTACGTCAAGAGCCAGGAGGTGATCAACGCCAAGCAGGAGCCCGTGAAGCCCGCCGTGCTGGCCAAGCCGCCTGTGTGCCCGGGCGCCAAGCGCGCGCTGGGGAGCCCCACGCTCAAGGTGTTTGGCAACCACGCCAAGACCGAGAGCGGGGTGCAGCGGGAGAACCTCAAGCTGGAGATCCTGAAGAACATCATCAACAGCTCGGAGGGCTCGAGCTCGGGCTCCGGCCACAAGCACAGCGCGCGCAACTGGCCTCCTCACAGGCCGGACGCCCCCGACCTGCACCGCCACTCCTTCGCCGAGTCCCTGAAGGTGTACCCCACGCCGGGCCGCAGCAGCCCCCAGGAAAGCAGCTCCCACTCCCACGTGAGCAGGAGGCTGCTGGAGCAATCCGCAGATTCCTTCCTCCACGTCTCGCACAGCTCCTCCGACATCCGCAAAGTGACCAGCGTGAAGCCCCTCAAAGCAATCCCCTGCAGCAGCTCCGCGCCACCGCTGCCCCCCAAGCCCAAGGTCCCCACCATGAAGTCTCCCGAAGCCGACCCGGTGGAATCAGCCTGTGGCCGGAGACCCTCCCTCCAGCGGTCCAAGTCAGACTTGAGTGACAGGTACTTCCGAGTGGACGCCGACGTGGAGAGGTTCTTCAACTACTGCGGACTGGACCCGGAGGAGCTGGAAAACCTCGGCATGGAAAACTTTGCAAGGGCTAATTCTGACATCATATCCCTCAACTTCCGCAGCGCAAGCATGATCAGCTCAGACTGTGAACAGTCTCAGGACAGTAACAGTGACCTTAGGAATGATGACAGTGCCAATGACCGGGTGCCATATGGCATATCTGCCATTGAAAGAAACGCTAGGATCATCAAGTGGTTATATAGCATCAAACAAGCTAGAGAGTCCCAGAAGGTGTCCCACGTGTAAGAGACACGGGGCGTGCGGAGGAGGGAGGGGTGGGTCTGTCTGTGTAAAGGTTGTGAGGTCTCCTTGAAGTGTCGTGAGCTTCTCCACTCTTTGTGTTGCTTGTTGTTTTCAAGTTGCATGCCTGTCAACATGGCGACTGGCCTGGCTTCCTCCCTCACCACCGCTGCAGGGCCTGGCTGAACACTCCTCTGCCGCTCATTTCAGGCAAGAGTCTCTTTGGGGCTTTGCTCTTAAGCAGAACTGTTTACATGGAAAATGGTATACAGTTTCTTCAATATTTATGTGGTTCTTGTGTTTTTTATATCCCACGCTCTTGTGTCTTAATTAAAAGTTTTGTCAATTGGCCTTTAAGTTGAGAGCAGAATCTTCTTGAAATAAAACCACTTTGCCTATCGTGAGACCGTAACAGTAGGAGAGGGGGGACTGCCACCACATTGTGACTGACCAGATGTAGAACCAGTCTGGGTTTTCTGTGGGATAAAGGGGTGAGCCTAATGTTAGTTGTTGTTTACATGTTGAACTTTCTCTTGATACTAATGGGGCTGTCACTGGGGCAGCAGTGTCTAGCTGGCTGCTGGCCTTTCTGTGTGATGCTGACTCTGAGGAAAGACAATCAGATGCAACAGAGCGTGATTCAACCTGGGAGCTGGGGTATTTGGGGGATGAGTTGTCACTCAGATTAGGGTAATTCAGAAATATTTACTAGTATTAATCTTTGTGCAGAAGTAGACACTCAAAAGTTGAAACTGAACACCTTTTTATTTTTCCTTATAAGGTGTTTCGTGAGTTTTTGTTGGCTTTTGTACCTCTGGTTTTATTGTTTTGGTTTTGGTCAAGAACTACTAATTCATGCTGTTTCTCTTCCTTTGTTGTGGTTTTATTTGGGAGAGGCAGTGGGGTTTGCACAGGTTTCTGCTATGGGAAGACATGAATGAAAACAGAAATATGAGCCATATCAGCCTAGAGCCACCTACTCCAAAGGGAATACACTTGTAGCTGAATCACCAGAGCGGCGTGGTTCTGTTGACCTGCATACGTTACCTCTTCAGCCATGACTCCGCTACACCTCAAGGAGACCGTAGAAACACCATCCTCTGTGGCTCTTGCGTCCTGTGGTCTCCAGCACTGCCCATCACCTTGTGTTCCTTTTTCCCAGTAACCTGTCCTCCAGGTAGTTCCCGTATCTGTCAGTGGGCTGACGGTGCCATTGGTGGCAGAGAAGGCACCATGCGCAGTGGTCTGATTCCTTGCTCTTATCAAGTTCTCTGTAGTACCACCTTGGGCTTCGTCAAGTACTAGGGAACTTTTTATGGTGTAAATGCTGTAAGACTTTGTACATACTTCAGTTGTTATTAAATCTTTAAGAAAAAAGAAATAATTATGCTAATAAATAGCTCTGAAGCAGGCACTAGCAGTGGTGGTTTCTTTGTTCTGTATCTCCCTCCGTGAAAGTTTATCTTAGGACTCTAGGCACGAAGCACACCCTTGAAGGAACATTCTGTTAAATTGTTTTTCATCATCCCTGATATTCTGAAGAAAAGTATTCCTAGTGGCAGCTATAGCGATATGCCTCTGCTAGTTGCATCAGTCCTAAAATAACTGCCTCTCCTTAGGTCACACCTCTTTTATTTTTGTCTTGCCTTAAACATCAGGGTTTTTCACATCTTCCACAAGACACGTCAGTTGTAAATATTTATGAGTCCTAACCATGGAGGCATCTTTGAATGGCCAGCCCCGTTTTCATTTGCACAAGCCCAGCACCGGAACCATTATGTGTGTCTGGACATTCATCCACTTGTTCATTCCCCTACCCTATATCACTGTTAATGGCTGCTTTTGTTAGGTGCTAGGTGAGCGTTGAACTTCTGTGGTGAACAACACAGTCTCTGCCTCAGGAGCTTAGACTTTCACATTTATTTTGAGAGAAACAGCACTTTTCTTAGTGGATGGACCCTGTCATATTTAGATATTGAGTATTCAATAAGTATTTATAAAATCAGTTATTCAAAGGTTGACATCTACGTCCCATATGATACAGAAATGTAAAAGAAAGCATCATTTAAATGCAGTTTTTGGAAACAGTGATAATGATTCCCAAACTACTGTTGGTAAAATATTTTTCTTCTGAAAAGAAAATTAGGGTCTTTGACTTTTTCTAGTGATTTTAAATTCTTGCTGGTTCTCTTAATAATTCTCAGTCAACCTAGAACATCAGTTTACAGTCAGAACATTTTGGAATGCAGCTATGAATGATGTCGTGCCTTCAGCATAATGCAATGAAGATACATTGAAACCCAAACATCAGTAACAAAAAATAAAAGTTTTCTTCCTTTATCATTTATGTAGGAAGGTGGCCTTTAAAACATACATGGCTTAGCATTTATAATATTTATCTCTTTCTGGACCTTTCTAAACACTAAAAGTAGATAATGTAGTCCTAAGGAAATCATTTTCAGGGAAAATGAACACTGCTTAGCTAATTTACTATCACTCCTTGTGCGATTTTAGTCTTGGTCTGTGTTTGAAACGTCTATATTCCATATTCCATTATCTGTTACCTGTATTAAGACAGGACTGTAAATCCATCTGTTTAATCCCCCATGGCTTTATTTGTACAAGAGAGAAGTATGAGGTTTTGTTCCAATGGAAACTGAAAGCTCATTATTATTTTTGGGGGGTTCATGAATTAAAGTTTCTATAAATGCCTATTTAAATGCCTACTGTTAAATCCAGTAGATGTTTCCTAATTGTGAATTAAGCTTTGCAAAGTACTCATAGGTTTTGCAAGGTACTCATTCTAGCTCATGGGAGTGTGTGTGCGCACATGTGTACAAGATACTTGAGGTATGGATATAGTGCTGTATAGTTCAGATTTTTTCTCACAATCTGGAGGGAATTACGATTGTACTAGATGGATCTGGAAACTAGCTATTTCTTTGTGAAAACCACCAAATCTTAAGACCGTTCTAGATCTACCCCTCTGACATTGCCTTAGTTTAGCTTCTCATTGTCTCTTACCTGAACTTCTGTTTCTAGGACTAAGTAGAAGTCCCCACACTCATAACCAGTCTCCCTCATGCCACAGATAACATGATTAATTCTGATCATCCTATTCCTCTACACAAAATAGATCCTCTGATTTGAATAGACCACTGTTAAATCTTAGCAGAATAGAGGCTATGGAGCATCTCCAGTATAGATCTTAGTCACCTAGCTAGGCCCAAGCAAAAGGATAGTCTCCATCAGGAAGGTTTTATTGTGCATTTATGATTTATTTACCCTGTATAACAAGGTCTCCCTCCACCCCGAACTTGGCAGTTTAAGACAATGGACATTGGTTGTCTCGGTGTTTGTGGGTCAGGAATCCTGGAGGGCCGTACCTGAATAGGTCCCACTACAGTATCTCTTGAGGCTGCCGAGATGGTAAGCAGACTCCATAGGCAGAGACAACATCCAGGTTGGCTTAGTTTCTCACAACATGCTCCTGTACAGTGGCTGCTTAGGAGTCCTTTTCACATGGAATCTGGCTTCCAGAGGGAAGCGAGCCAAGGAGAAAGCCACAGTCCTGGGTCACATACTTCTGTCACATTCAATCCATTAGAAATGGGTTTCCAAATGGGATTTACATACAGGAAGGGTAGGGGACCCCATATTTTAAAGAGAGATACATCTAGGAACTTGTGGACACTTTAAAACCACTACTGTGGCTCAGACTGAGTAGTTCATCATTCTGTGAGGAGTACTTACTCCTCCTTCAACTTCAAAATCACTTATTTTGAAAGACCACACAATTGTCCACTCTGACATGTTTTGAGTTTCTGTGTTGCTTTTTCTTACCCTCTTGTAATTGTTGTCATGACCATGGGTACAGCCTTTGCTGGCATAAATAACACCTTTGTGTGAATCTTTAAGAAGGTAACCTGCCTCAAAACATTTACTTTCTTTGAGAAAAAAGCCAAACACTTGTCCTAAGGAACATACACACCTCCAGTGACTCTGGTGTGAACTACAGCCCCAGGATATGGGTAACCTGCCATACAGTAGCACAGAACATACAGGAGTATGTAACATGCTTACTAAGTATTTGCTGATTTGGGGTAGGAAGAGTGTTGTTTATCTTCATGTTTAGTGTCTTTTGTCTGAGCCAGATAAAAGACTTATTTGGACCAGAAATGGTCAAAATTTCAGAAGTTTTTCAAATTTAAGGATACTTATTTAATAAACTCAAGGAATCCATAAATCTGAAATCTGAAATGCTTTTAAATCTGAAACTTCTTTGAACATCATGTAGGTTTCAAATTGTGAAGCATTTTGCTTGTTTGGAGTAGGTTTACTCACCCTTTGTCATGTTTAAATCCTGTGCTGAGCTATAAATGGTACACTGTGAGCACAAGGAGGTAGTTTCTATCCCTGCATTAGACACAAGGCCCCTCAGTTCTGTGGCAGTGGAGCACGGCAGCCAGGCTCACAGAGAAGACGGGTGGTACAGAACTTTGAGCCTGTTTCCAGCTCTGCCTTTTCTACAGCTTTGCTGAAGATGAGAGACAGTGTGTTGTGCTTAAAAAAAGAAAAGCAGAGGGGCTTTTAGCTTCATCTTGATGCTTATATCCTCCACCAGTACATAAATATGTCACAAATGCTCAGGATTTTAACAATTTCATCCTCACCTAAATGGTAGCCCATAAATTTATAAAAAGACTTCAGCCACTACATTATGAATAACAGCCCACTGCGTTCAGAGAGACACGGCCCTGGGATTTCCTTTCTGCCTGTTTTGAACATGACATATTTTACAATACTGCAGAGTCCTGTCTTTCGGGATCAAGCCTGGTTAGAAGGGTAAACATTAGAGATAAATGCGGCCACAACTCAACAAACAGGAGTAATTCTGGCCATTTAAAGTACCAGCATCACTGTTCTCCCGCACTGAAAGCACACGTGGGGTTCTGTCCAGCAGATTGACTGGAGAAGGAAGGATTCGAAAGGTACCCAGTGCTCCAGTTAGGGCTGAGTAGATTCTCAGTTCACTCACTGATCTCATTACCAACCACAAATGTTGATGCCGACTCACCTAGGTGCGCGGAAACAAGCAGGGCTGTTAATCTCTCCCCAGGAGAACAAGCTGCACCATGGAGGACGCCAGCCCTGGTGGCTGCAGCTGAGCCTCCACACCGTCCCCTTCAGAAAGGTTGCTCTTAAGGGTTCAGCTCACTCCCTCTTGCTTTAACAGAAGCGCAGGAGAGAGAAGTCCAACGGTGCATGGGCCACACACTGTGGGAACCCTTCCTCCAGCTCCTGAGCCCATCTCCTTGAAAGGTAGCATCCACTCCCTCACCGGAGAAATGGAGGAGGAGCTGTCTGATGTGATTCCCTTGACCTTGGTGACAGCACTAAAACTGGTTTGGAGCACCAGGGTGCTGTGGGAAGAACATGAAAAATCTAGAATGTGGTCTTCACCAGGTGAACGTTCTGCTCATCCCATTTCATGGAATGGCTATCAGTAAATCTTAGTTGCTGTGCTAAGCCCAGCTTTCCCATCTTATTTTATTCTCCGAAGAACTTTAGAAGTGAGTTAGAATCAATAAAAGAAAATTCTATTGATGAAGAATCTGTGGATTAAGCTACTCTCAAAGGCACATAGCCAATAAGCAGGAAAAGGGAAACATAAACACAAGTTAATAAAACACCCTAAAATGTGTTCTTTAGGAAAATGAAATTTTAACATCTTGTGTTGTTCCTTTTCAATAAGTTACACTGCAGAATGAAAACACTGTTGCAGGTATCAGTTTGTGATTCCTCTATAAAATGAGAGACATAAACCTAATCATATGATCACACAGGACTAAAATTCCTAGGTCTCTCTGCGAGGGACATTAGTAGTCAACTGTCCTTCTCCAGCTTACAGAGAACACAGCAGATCCCGAGACACAAGGTGTTGGGGCTCACCCTGAGCTGCAGGTGGGCTGGAGAGTGGGGCAGGAACAGAGGAACCCACCTGTTCGGACTTGAAAGGAGCCAGGATGGGGAGCAGAGGAACTACACAAGGCTAAAATGTCCATCGTGAAGAAATAGAAGCAGCTTGGTTAACATATACTCTGATATGGATGGTCCTTGATTTACAGTGGTTCTATTGACCATTTTTAAACACATGATAGTGTGAAAGCAGTAAGCATCCAGTAAAAAAAATCTTTCTTCCAATTTTGCACTGGATCTCTTCCTGGATTTCCTGTTATCGCCAATACTTTCTCAACAAGCTGGAGAGGGTAGTGAGCTGCACCTCTCAGCACACAGCGAAATAATTCTCAAAAGGACACAGTAGATACTCTGTAATAGGCAAGCCCCACATCCCACCTCCCCATGTCCCTAGTAACGCAGCCCCAGAACAGCATAAACTTTTAACCTTATCAT